TATCTATCTATCTATCTATCTATATCTCCCACCCCAAACCAGTCCATTGTTCCTTAAAAAGAAACCCCAGACCCAGCACCAGATCCGTGTTACCGTTAGATCCCAACCTCATAAAATAAAAAATTATTCTGAATAATATTCTAAATATTCCTTGATCAACTTTTAAGCAAAATGATATCATAATTTAAATAATAGTCAAGAAATTGTAGCAAAATTAGATCATAATTCAAATAATAGTTGAGGAATTGTGCAATTTTTTAATGCAAGCAGACTGAAGCAAATTTCTATGTGTACAAATGGAGTAATAATACAGGAATAAAGTAGTAATTCTTCTACTCTGATGGCAATTTCATGATGGCAGTTTTCCTGGAATTTGATAAGGAAGCWGTGAAATCCCAGCCAGGGGTGTCAGTGCTCCCTGCAGGGTGGAGGGGCTGCAGGACTCCCYGCTCCTGCTGGATTCACACCTCTGAAAAGCTCCAAAGGAGCACAGAAATTCATTTATCGAGGGTACTCACTGACTCTTCAATTCCTTGTGCACGCTGATGAAATAACACCTGGCAGTTTTTTATTCCTACTTTGTGTTGAACAGCTGATGTTTGTTTTCTAGAGAAATCTGAAAAAATAAAGAGGGTTGGGGTGTTTGGAGAGGTGGGAATCTGAATTCTGTGCAGGGCTTCTCATCCTGGAGGGTTTTTTGTGCTGTGGGTTGTCAGGGGCCTTGTTATTTTTTCCTACAGCAGCATCGTGGGTATTTGATTGCCATTAATTGCCATAAATTGCCATTTATTGCCATTTATTGCCATCTCTGTTGTCCTGAACAGCCCCCAGAGAGCTCTGCCAAACCCRCTGGGCTCCTGCTCCTGGATGTTTCCCCCGAATCCCAAACTCCTGCTGCTATTTTGGGATATTTTTGTCTCTGGAGGGGACAGCTGATGGAATGGGGGATGCTCCCCGGGAGCTGGGGTGGGGACAGGCAGAGCTGCCCGAGCCCCAGGGTGCCCCCTGCCCACCCTGCCCTGGCACCCTCAGCCTTTGGCAGGGCTCAGGATAACCCAGGATAACCCAGGATAACCTGGGATAACACAGGATAACCCAGAGTATCCCAGGATAACACAGGATAACCCAGGATAACCCGGGATAACCCAGGATAACCCGGGAAAACTCAGAGTATCCCAGGATAAACCAGGATAAACCAGCATAACCCAGGATATCCCAGGATAACTCAGGATATCCCAGGATAACCCAGGGCTGAGGAAAACCCCGAGGTTTAGGATTACATAGGTTGAGGATAACTCAGGGCAGAGGATATCCCAGGGATTTAGGATAGCCCAGGGATGCAGGATTAGCCAGGGCTGGGGATGTCCCAGGATTTTAGGATATCCCAGGATTTCAGGATAACCCAGTTTTTTAGGATAACCTAGAGCTGCAGGA